CACCCCACTCCCCTTCCAGGGCTGAGAACAGAACCCAGGAGTCCTACTTTACTTTCATTATTTCGCTCAGCACAGCGAGTGAAAGCAGACTCTGTTTTGTCAGCTGCCCTTTCTGGTCACAAACCCCCACAAGGCTGGGGGTGGGAGGGGAGTTGTGCAAATACAGCAGGGGAAGGTACTTATATTTATTAAACAGCTCTACAATGAATCATTTATACACGCCATTACGACATTCTGGCCTGCACTAAAATGTGCCCAAAGCAGAGCCCGAGGGTCTGACCCTGCAGCCCTCCTTCCCCACAAGGGTCCCACTGAGTTCAACCGGACAGCTCCACACAGCGCAGGGTCAGGCGGGGAGCATGACAATGGCCCAGACCCTCAAAGCTACGTAGGAGCCGCACTCCGGCTGGTTTCAATGGGGGTGAAGTGCCTGCGCTGTTTGGAAGAGCTGGGCCAATGTCCCTTTAGGTTATGAGGACTGTGTATACCCCACGCTGGCAGTGACAGGGTTACAGGACGCCTGACAGCCCAATTAGCCTCTTCTGGGGCATCTGGAGGGCAATGGGGAGAAGAAAGCCGGGTGGGCCCTATAAAGGAAGGACTGCAGGGCCAACAGGAGGAGACCCAGGAGACAGGAAGTTGGGGATTTCTGCTCTCTGGGAATGGAACTACAAAGGGATCTGAAGGGAGCAGCTTGTGCTCTGGGGCCATCCCTGAAGGGAGAGGGCAGCCAGAGATTCGTAAACAGGCCTGAGGGAAGAAATCTGAGAATCAGGGGCTGGGCAGGAGACAGGCATCCACGGAGAAGGCCCAGGGGGCAGTACTGTCACAGAGCGACAAAGACTCTGGGGGGGTGGCGCCTGGGAAGGGGGGAAGTTTTCATTCCTTTGAGCTGGGCCTTGGTTGCCCCAGAAGGGCTGGGGCGCTCAGCGTGAGCTAGCCGGAGGGCCAAGTCACGGCACAGACCTCTGACCTCCGGAGGAGCTGCAATGCCAGATCTTGCCACGAGGAGGTGCTCCAGGATGGTGAGTCTATGCCAAGGACACGCACAAATTATGGTGGCTTGATTCCCTCCCTCTGTGCCTCTTGCACCCCGCACCAATCCCCTTCCTGTGTCAGTCTAGATCCCTAGGGGCCGTTAGCTCATCTAGCCAGAGCTGTCAAACAGAGGATGGTTCCCTCTGCACTGAGCCCCCTCCCTTGTAAACGAACACTTCAGCCCGAATGATCAATGCCGTGCGACTGTGAGTGACCATGGAGAGCAGCTTTCCAGACCTGCCAGTTACTCAGGGCGCAATGGGGATCACTAAACCATCAAACAAACATCCCTTGAACATGCCCCTGCCCCGGCTTGAGGTCTGGACAGGATCTGGGGCCAAACGAAACCCTGGTGTCAAACTCTGGGCCAGATCTGGGGCCAAAACATAAACCCAGAGCTAAACACTTGCCAGTGGGGTGGCTGAATCTTTCCCCAGGAAGAGGCTGATGTCTTGCTGTGAAGGTGAAATGCTGCAGCGATGAGACAAGGATGCTGGTGGTGAACTGAGGGGGTGGGGTAAATAATGAGCGACAGAGAGCAATGCAAACAAATCTTCCCGCTTTGTGGCTGTCCGGGGGCCTGGTCATGCTTTCCCCAGGCTAGGGAGGAACCAACATCCCACCACCCACCTCCGGTGGAGAATGGACCTGCTGCTGAACACTGTGCACGGCCACCGAGACTTGGCTTCCTTTGCTAGCCTGGGAAGTACTCTGCACCACCAGCCGCTGCAAAGGGAGGATACAAAAGAAGTCCTGGTTAATGACCACCTCGCAGTCAGAGGAATGCCAAGTTCTGCTGGCCGCTGGGGAGCAGAGCAGGTCATGGCCGGCGCTGGTCTAGAGAACCGCCCGAGCTGGGCAGCCGGCGCTAGTCCAGAGTGTAAGTGAAGCTGTATTGGCTTTGGGTAACAATACTCACCAGTACAGCCCGAGCCAGAGTGTCATTCAGAACAGTACTCACAAGTATAGTCAATTTTCATTCGGCATGTTCGGTATTTATCTGGACTAACTCCCGCACAGAACTGTGACTAAATCAAAATGACCTCTTTGGCTCCCTGGGCAGCAGAAACCTTCATCTGCTTGTGTCTGGCCAACATCAAACAGGCTGCCCACTTGTGTCCCAAGGCAGGGGGCATGCCATCACTTGGGGACTTTAAATACTAGACAAACAAAGCAAAGAGAGAAATACACTGGCTGGGAAATGGGGTAGAGGATACAAGGGCTTTTCCATCTCTATTTTCTTTGAGTCAGTGAAAATAATATGCAATGGGGCAAATTCTGTAGCGTTCCCGTTTTGTAGCTCTGAGGAACAGCTGCCTTCCATCACGCAGACTAACACCACACTGGCCAAGGACGTTTTATTTCTCTTTCCAAATGCAACTGCAACCCGCCAAAAACTGGAGGCATGATGCAGCATTTGGGTCCCATTCTCTTCTCCTTGATCCCACCTTCAGGAGATGAGAGCCCGCAGAAAATCTTTGCAGCCAGTTGATAGGTGGTTTCTTCACCTGCCTGGCACGCAGACAAGCTGAGATGTGGTTTTAGGTTCTCCGCAGTTCCTCTAGCACTGCACTGTCAAGGCAGCTGCATTTCCCAGGAAAAGGCTTTTCAGGTCATTCCTAAGGAGAACATTAGCCGAAACGGCCAAAGGTTAACCCAGGGCACTGTGAAGCAGGCATGAAAGCTGGCCCAACTAGGAATAATGGGGAAATGTCTGGGACAGCATCTTGGCTTGGAGATCTGGCTGTGGAAGAGCCTCTCCAAAGGGAGGGGTGGGAGCCCCAACACTTGGGACTTTAAAATCCGACTGGATAAAACATTAGTGAATATACGAAGTTAAGCCTCTAATACAAGGGCTTGTGTCTCAGGCTTTCTTCCTACTAGTGTCCATCATGCTAGTCTGAACAGATGGACCTCAGCTGGCATGTCCGAAGAGCCCATCACTGAGGTTTTAGGCACTACACACCGATGACAAATTCCAGTAAGATCTGTCCAGATTGGACAGCCAAGACTCCGTCCAAATCTTTAGATGAGCTGTTGGCTGTAGGGTTCTGATCTATCTGGATTTTCTACTGCTCCGATCATTTGAGTGACAGTCTGAGAAAGAGGCAAGTCATGAAGCTCACCCAAAAGTGGTGAGCGCTGACTCACCCTGACATCTCGCTAGTGAGAAGGCTTTGGGTTGGAGGAGGTCTGACTCATTAAGGTCACTGCAGATCAACATCAGAACCTTGTCAGGGATCTAATAGGAAATAGGAACCCAGCAGAAGCTGTGAAGCACAGAGGTCGTCTGTAGCTTCTTCTGCTTAGGAGATGATTTCAGGCAGGCTTTTGAAAGTCCCAAGTAACATTCTCATAAGAAAGCTAAGGAAATGTGGTCTAGATGAAATTACTGTAAAATAGGTGCAAAACGGGTTTAAAGACCATCCTCAGTAATTATCAACAGTTCAATGTCAAAATGGGGGAACGTATCTACTAGGGTCCTGCAGGGGTCTGTCCTGAAACAGGTGCCATTCGGTATTTTCATTAATGACTTGGATAATGGAATGGAGAGAATACTTATAAAATCTGAACATGACACCGAGCTGGGAGGGGTTGCAAACGCTTTGGAGGACAGGATTAGAATTCAAAACCACTTTGAAAAATTGGAGAACTGATCTGAAATCAACATGATGAAATTTAGTAAAGACAAGTGCAAACTACCAGGCTTAAGAAGGAAAACTCAAATGGGCAATAACTGGCCCGAGGGTAGCTCTGCTGAAAAGGAGCTGGGGGTTAGAATGGATCACAAATGAAATAGGGGTGAAAACATTATCTACTATCTGTTCTTATCAGTTTAATAGGAGCCAACAGTGTGATGGAGTTGCGAAAAAGGGCAGTATCATTCTGGGGTGTATTCGCAGGAGTGTGGCATGTAAGACATGGGGGGTAATTGTCCGGCTCTACTTGGCACGGGTGAGGTCACAGCTGGAGTCCCGTCTCCAGGGTGCCACACTTTAAGAAGGATGTGAACAAACTGGAGAGAGTCCACAGGAGAGCAACAAAAATGACGGAAGGTTTAGAAAATCTGACCTAAGAGGAAAGATTAAAAACCCTGGGCATGTTTAGTCTGGAGAAAAGCCGGCGGGAAACCTGAGAACAGTCTTCAAATATGCTAAGGGCTGTTTCAAAGAGGACAATGGTAAGTTGTTCTCCACGTCCACTGAAGGTAGGACAAGAAGGAATCGGCTTAATCTGCAGCAAGGATTTCGATTAGATATTAGGAAAAGCTTTCTAGCGAGAAGGAGAGTCAAGCTCTGGAACAGGCTTCCAAGGGAGGTTGGGGAATCCCCCTCATTGGAGGTTTTTAAGAACAGGTTGGACAAACCACTGTCAGGGATGGTCTGGGTTGACTTGGTCCTGCCTCAATGCGGGGGGCTGGATTAGATGACCTCTCGAGGTCCCTTCCAGCTGCACATTTCCATGATTCTATGAGTCTCCATGCGATGTGCTAGCTGCAGCTTCCTCCTCCTACGCCCGTCCTTCAAAGCACTGTAGCCATCTCCAGCCATGTCCACCATTCAGCAAATGCTCCCCCCATTAACCTGGCAGGGGTTTCAGTATGAAGAATCATCACACAGGAGTCGCTTTCCTCGAGATCAGCAGAGACGACAGAGTTGGGGTCTAAACATCAGATTAGAAATATCTCAGCAACCCAAATTCAGGGGTCGTTTAAATGTTAATCCTTCAGGGGCTTTTAGACAACAGCTTTTAAACAGAGGTGGTGGGATAGGAAAGATCTCAGGGTGTGTTTCTTTTCTAAGGGAGAGCGTTTAACTCTGTCCTTGGCCAAAGTTTCCCACTGCACCATCTGGTTGTGAGCTAACGCCCAGAGGCAGCTGCATTTCAGTCCTACTGTGTGTAGTCTGAACTGCTTTGGGATATATTTTATTTATTTCATGTAGAGGAAGGAAGCTGCCAAACCAACCATGGACTGGAAATACGGGAATGATGCTTCCTCTCCTTAATCTTGCCTAGTTCAGTGCCTGCGACCCCTCTGCTTGTGTGTAGCTGTCAAATCCACATGAGTTTCAATCACTGATCAATTCAAGGCAAGACAACTTCTTGCCTGGCTGTGTTTTCTAACATGGAAAGGAAAAGCCAGAGGCAGAGCGGATCAGAGTCTGCACAGAAGTGAGACTCCCTTGTGCTGGGCATGCTCCAGTCTGTCCCAGACATAGAGAAAACCACTGTTTAGATAATGATTAGTGGCCCGTCAGCTGTGCTAGATGAATGATAGAAACTCACAAACATTCTTGCAGTCTCCGGATGCCTGTCCATATGCCTACAGCTGCATCTTCATTACAAATGTAATGCTTTACCAAGATAGCACCTTCTGTCAGAGCGCATCCCCCATGCTATTCTGACTCATACTGCCTGCCCCAGGAGAAGTAGGTAAGAATTATCCCTGATTTGCAGATTGGGAAACTAAGTGGTAGGGAGAGTATGCAATTGGTTCAAAGTCACAGAGACAGTCAGGACAAGAATCCAGGAGTCCTGACTCCCAGCCCCTGCTCTGACCACTCACCACTCCTTTCCCAGAGCTGGGAATAGAATTGAGGAGTCTTGCATGCCCTCAAAGTCCACCAGGCAGACAGACAGTGGGTGAACCGGAAATGGAACCCAGATCTCCTGACATGTGTGTGGTTGTTTCTGTGCTTTAATCACATGACCACCCTTCTTTCTTAAGACACGGTCACTGTTTTTAGAAGGTCCATTCCACAGGCCAAACAGCCCCACTCCCCGTTTGCCGGCACTGCAGGAAGAGCCTCTGTGTCTTCCGATGCCTACGCCACAATTCCAATTATGAGCCATCTTTGCTGCTGTGCGTTTCCCTGAGAACAATGTTGGGATCAGGTAACCCAAGCATTACATAAAGGATCTGATTAAATTCCCATTAAAGTAGGTGAAAAGACTCCTATTGCTGTCAATGAGAGTTGGATCTGGCCCTATATGACCAGGGATTAATTGAGCCTAATGGGTCCAGTTACCACTTAAGTCCTAGGGCTACATTCAAACCTGGAATAAGACGGGGCAGTTCTGATGGCCTCTGATCCAGAATCAGACATGGCCATAAATAATGGTGTAAGTTACGCGGGGTGTAAAGTGAGTGGAGAATGGGGTGTAGGTGCTATAGACCTCTCTGGCATTCAGTGGTCATGCAAAACATATGTCAATTACACACACCAGTGGCTGAGTCAGATTAGTGCAAAGGAGGCAGAATTCACCCAGCAGCTGTGAGGCCCTGAGATATGTAAGAACAAGGGAGGGTGCTGTGCAAAACGCATGACAATTACACAGCAGGGAGATGCAAAACGCACATCAATTACACATCAAGGGGGCAGAAGGCCTGGGGAAGTAGCAGGAAAAGCAAATAACAGGTAGGGGAAATAAATGAGTTGGCAGGGCCTCTTTTATCTTCCACCCTCCTGTGATTTGCTTTTCCCGTCTCATGCCCCCTTACACCAGCTAAGTAAAATCCTGCTCCCATGTAAGACAATCCACTTTAGCCACTAACACACTGGTGCTGGGGGTGCTCCCACACTCCCCGGCTTTAAGCCGTTTCCATCATATACAGGGTTTACAGTCTGGGGATGCTGAGAGCCATTGAACCACTATACAAATTGTTCCAGCTCCCCTGCACTGATGTCAATGAGGCCTGGATCCAACCCACTTCCATCCATTCTTCTGACCAGCGTTGCACCCAACACGCAACCCCATTTAAGGCACCACTAAATCTGGACCCCAATCTGGCTAAACAATAAGCTTCCCCTGCACCAGTTGGATTAACTGATCTGAATGATTCGTACCCACCTCTAACTTCTAATCTCTTATCCGCTAACACGGCGAGTCACAGAAGCACTGTTATTTCCCCGGGTCAGCATGATCGGGTGCCCCTCATGCAGCCTGATTTTCCTCGGGCTTTTACAGCGGTCGTTTCCGAGGAGTTACTCCTGCTTTGCGCTGGTCGAAGGGAAAGGAGGATCAGCTCCTCAGGTTGCTAATTGTAAGTATGTGAATGAACTCAACATGCAGTGAGGGAGCTGTGCCTACAACTATGTTCTGGGGGCAGTTTAACACAGTGAGTTGCAAGGTTGCCAAGCACAGGGAGTTGCAGGGGAGAAGCGTGGAAGAGCACAGGGCACGGGGCTTTCTGAACCATCGCTTACCTGCTGGGGCACTTGCACACCTGTTAGCTGGAGGGGGGATACCGAAGGTGGCTTAGCCTGCACGCTGGCTTGAACCAACAGCCTCTGTCAAACAAAACACCCAGAGTTCAAGGTGAATGGAGGAAGCAGGAGTGATTACAGCAGCGGCCCCGACATTCTCCGGTTAGCATCAGGCCCCAGCATTTAATAAAGCACCTGGCAGCAGAGGGCGTCAACACACTTCACAAAGGGGATGAAGTATCATCATCCCAGTTTGGTCCTAGGGCGCAGAGCGGGGAGCGACCTGCCCAAATTCATACAGTAACTTAGTGACAGAGCTGGGAACAGAACCCAGGAGTGCTGATTTCTGGTCTTCCCCACCCTGTAACTTCGAGACACATTCTCCTTCCAGAGCTGGGAATAGAACCTAGGAGTCCTGACTCCCCACCCCCCTGCTCTAACCACTAGCTTCTGCTTCCCGCCACCAAGCTGGGAACAGAATCCAGACATACAGCCTCCCAGCCTGCCCTAGACCACTAAAGCTGAAATGATTTCATATTCACCAGGCCCGGAAGCAACAAATAAATCCAAGGAGCCCAATTCTAGCCTGATTTATTCCCCCTGCAACAGTCTAACAGCACCCAGCTGTCCCCCAGGAAGATCGCCTGCTTGCCCACCTACCTGCTGCGTGGCCTGGACTTGCTGCACCACCTGTGTTGGCACCCCAGACTGTGTGGCCGTCGAGCCCGGGCTGGACTCGGAGACGGAGTCACTGGGCCTCATGGCACCTTCTGAATTTTGGAAAAGGAGAAGAAAAGGTCGCATGAAAAGTCTGAGGAAGGCACTTCAGAAAAGGTGTCCAAATCCCTCCTGTATATTTCAAGGGAGTTGCCAAGAGGCAGCCGGGGCTAGTGGACTGAGCACAGGACTGGTGTTGGGACTTATGCCTATGGGGAGTTCTAGTCACAGCGCTGGGAGGGGAATACAGCTCCCAAACTTGGGAATGGAACCCAGGAGTCCTGACTCCCAATCCCCTGGCTCAGTGGTTTCATGCCCACATGTAGAATGGAGCTCTCTGCCATTGGGCATAACTCCTCTGATTACCGTGCAGCACCCGGTGTGAATTTCCTTCTAACAGAAAGAAACAGCCAGCAACTGCCCCTACCAAAAACTAGTGAGAAAACAGGTGACAGGCCTCTCGTACAGTCGGCCTGTTCGATGGACCCTTCATGCAAAGATTCCCTGCGAAGCAAGCCAGGTACTTACGATCACAAGGAGCTGTACAGAGACAATCGTAATACATGGTGCAGTGGGCACAGGGGTGTGCGTGTGCGTTTGTGTTTGCTCCCCTTCCTTGCGAGACAGGTAATGAAAGACCCAAGGCTTTTATAACCTGGAGCCTTGGCCACCTAATCCCTGCCAGTTCTCACCAAAGCTCCAGTGAGGCTGGTTTAGTATAAACATCCCCATCCTAGAAGGTGCAATCCCAACCCTCTGATCCTTCCAGGGAGGGGTCGGGGGAGCTCATCTGGGGCTGATTCTAATCGAGAAGCAGGAGATCACGTTTCATGGGTGTCTCGTTTGACATTATCAACAGAAGAGGAGGAAAAAAATAGCTCAGCGACCTTCCAGGATGGTGAATGAGTCTGTTTCTTTAGGGCACTTGAACGAATCAATGTTAATGCTGGGTTTACCAGCTTGGGAACCCTGGGAGACAGGACAGGCTAAGTGGGAAGTCCTTTTCCCACTTTAACAGCTATGATTCCATGGAGCAGTGGAGATGGATTTTGAGGAAGCTTTTGCACGATGGGTCATATGGGTCTGGTGCGCTGGCATTTACTGATCAGTTGAGCGAGGCCCTCACACTGGTACTATGCAGAGTATCTGGCACTTGATAGCGACCATATTTGTGTTGGTTACTTTGCACACCACAGAATCCGAGACATTAAAGATGGAAAAAAAAGTCTTGGCCCAGCCAGGCCTGATTCCTGCAATCTACTTTTCACAGGGAAGCTGCATTGCTAACCCTAATGATTCTGATGCAGCTTCCAGAGCCTGAGGACCTTATTCGACTGATCTGCCCGAACTCCCACGGACTTCAATGAGCAGCCTCGGCCCCTTCTTTCCTAACCCAGACGTCGGGAGTTTGGACAATGATCAGTGAGGTGAAATGTTGTCAAAAGCCTTCTGAAAATCCAATTCCACTGGCTCCCCCATGTCATCCAGCAGCACAATGCCCCCTGTCATCACACTAGGTCATTAAAAAGGAGGTGCAGTGGCTACTGGACAGAGCACAGGACTGGGCCATTTCCTAGCTCTGATACTGCTCTACAGGGCAACCTTGGGTGAGTCACTTTGCTGCTCCGTGCCTCAGTTTCCCCATCTGTAAAATAGGGATGATTTTGTAAAACGCTATGCGATCTACTGGTGAAAAGCACTAGATAAAAACGAGGGATGTTTCTTTTTATTTTGTTAAAGATCCCATCCCATGCTCTGTAAAGTATTTTGGCCAAAACTCCTGCTCTCCCCACTAGTCAATAAGTGGCTGCAACCCTCTGCCCCAGAGGCAGATGCATTTCAGTGAGTCTGTGTGTATGTGCGTAGGTCAGGATCAAAGACCTTAGAGAAACGTAACATGATTATAATATTCCTTCCCTTTAAATTCTAGCTCCTCTCATTTAGATGGGTATTTTTAATGTGCCTAAAACTGCAACAGCCATTGATCCTACCGCACTTTAAGTTTACAAAGCATGTTCAGACCTTAGTTAAGCACCACAGCTACTCTCCAAGGTAGGCAACTATAAGTATTATTACCTCTGCTGCGCAGGTGGGGAGATGAACGTCAAAGGTATTTAGACACCTAACTCCCATTCAGATCCCGGTGCCTAAATAACTTTTGCAAAGGAAAACCAGCTCTTTCTGCTGTCTGCAAACATATCGGTCCCCATTTCAATTAGATTAAGTGGGAGATGAATGCAGAAAGAAATCAGCCCCTATACAAGTTCTTAGGTGGCGAGATCTTTGCTCAGCTGTGCATCAAGTCACTCCCACCCCCTCCTCCTTCACCTAAAGGCCAGATGGTAAGTAAACCTTTCATTATTATTGCTTTCCTTCTCTCTCTCTCTCTCTCTCTTTTTAAAGGCAGCAGAGCGTGGGCTCCTGGGATTACAAGGCATTTGGTGTTATTAGAACTGTTTCCACTGCTACACTGGTGGGGGGAGTACAAGAGAGGCTTGTCTGATTGCACCAGGGTCAGTGTTATTGACTAAGGACCAGATCTCGTCAGGTGCTAGAGGGCAGCAGTCGGTGGCACTTTGCAGAGGCTCAGCCCCTCTTGGCAACTTCTCTCCCGATGGAGTTGAGCGCCTCCCAGGTAGGGTCCCCCTCTGGGTACAGCGCTGTTCACTTTGCAGATAGGCGCTGGAGAATGCTGCGCCTGGAGTGCCCTAATGGCTTCCCAGGAGTGAGAAGCGATGCCTGAGAGAGGCACGCTTGCTTCCTTCACAAGGCAGCAAAGCGAGGAACTGGATGATTGCTCTCCCAAGACCAGCTTCGGGGGCTTTCACAGCCACAGCTCTGAGCTGGCCCAGTAGGAAATGATTTCTGGAAGAGTGAAGGACACCGATGTCTTCTAACTAACTAGGTGCCTATGCATCACCCCTCACACTCCCCCTCTAGCCAGCCAGGTACTCGATATTGGGGCCTGATTTTCAGAGGTGCTGGCACCCACAGTTCCAGCTGAAGTCAACGGAGCTGCATTGATCTACACTTGGTGAGGATCAGGGCCTTTATGCCAGGGAACTAGAAGGAATAAGATTTGTGGCAGATCTCTGGCCTGCATCACTCCAGGATTGCGAACAGAAGCGTCAATCTATTATGACAGGGTCTGCACGGTGGATAATCTGCCCTAGCTCACACTCCCCTTTGAGAATCACAACGAATTTTCTCTGAATAAAATCCAGGCTAGCTTTAAACCCTAGTGTCTGCAGACAGCCCTTAATGGAACTGACCTGGAGGGGAGGGAAGTGTTGGGGGAAGTCTGCTAGAAAGATAAACTCCAGCTTTGGTTGTGGGTGGATGTCTTAGGACCTTACAGGGAGTGGCTCGGTAGCTAGAATCTGATCCCCAGCACCTTCTCCAATTAAACTTTCCACTGCTAGGAAAATACAATCTTGTTAAAACTCCCAACCGGAACATGAATCAAAAGGCTCAAGAGATTTCTCAACAGCTTAGGTGGAGCCTGATTATTATCTCAGGCTATCCAGGTTTCTTTGGATGATATTTCATGCAACTCTGCAACACGCGACTGAAGTCAGCGGGAATATTATCCGGCTGTTTTCCTTGCCTGCCCTCAGCTACTTAGTAACAATCTTCCTTTCTATAGGAAACCGACTGCTCCTGATCTGGGGGTGTTTAGATCTAGAAGGGATGGTTGGTTGGTTCTGAGTCAGTTAACTGGAAATGTTCCCCCTATTAACCAATGTCTTTCTACTGCTTATTCAGACCCTGCCCTGAATCACAATAACGTGCTACAATAAGGATTTCCTAGCATGATCTGACAGGGGACAAAGGGCCTTCACGCACCTGCCTTCTGAGACAGAAACTAGAACATAGCCCCGGACAAACTGTGGTACCTACAGATGTAGTTCAGTTCTTAATGCATCTTAACAAACAGGCAAGCACTCAAGCGTTTCTACTTACTCACCATTCATCTACTCCCATGATGACTTAAAGGATTGGAAAACCTGCCTTACAGTGATAGACTCAAGGAGCTCAGTCTAACCAAGAAAAGGCTAAGGGGTGACTTGATCACAGCCTGCAAGTACTTGCACGGGGAACAAAACTTTGATAATGGGCTCTTCAATCTGGCAGCCAAAGGTCTAAGAAGCTCGGATGGCTGGAAGCTAGACAAATTCAGCCTAGACGCAAGACGCACATTTTTAACAGTCAGGATAATTAACCATTGAAACAATTTACCAACAGCTGTGGTGGATTCTCCATCTCTAGCCATTTTTAAATCAAGACTAGATGTTTTTCTAAACTCGTACACACAGGAATTGATTCAGGGACGACCTATAGCCTGGGTTATACAGGAGGTCAAACTAGAGAATCACAACAGTCTCTACTGGCTTTACAATCTATGAAACTCTGATAGATTGGCTCTAGACCAGGGGTCGGCAACATTTGGCACGCGGCTCGCCAGGGTAAGCACCCTGGCGGGCCGGGCCAGTTTATTTACCTGCTGACGTGGCAGGTTCGGCCGATCGCGGCCCCCACTGGCCGCGGTTCGCCGTCCCAGGCCAATGGGGGTGGCGAGAAGCCGCGGCCAGCACATCGCTCGCCCGCGCCGCTTCCCGCCGCCCCCATTGGCCCTGGTTACAACAGTGCATAGCTATGGTAATAGATAGGTTCTACAGTGACTAACCTACGTTTTTATGACTTCTTGTTTCTGTTAGACCTGCAGAGGAAACCCAGTCCTGGGAGAATGAGCTGGATTCTATTCTAACTCATGCATCACCAACGGAATACACTAAATTCCAAATTCCAATCTGAATTGATGATGCGTAAGGCGGAAAGAACCTGGCTTGACTCCCCAATCTCAGGGGGAGCTTGCGGGTCTGGTGGCATTAAATTATTATCTTTTTACTTGAAAAGCGAGTCCATTTGTATCTAGAGTTGCTGAGAGATGATAAAGGAGGAGCCTCGCCTAGACATTCTCAATAGCAGCAGTGCATTGGAATAAGTCCATCTCTTGCTGTTAGTTCTCAGTGGCGAGTCAGCTCTCCAGATCACTGTATAAAGGTGCCTCTGTTTACCTGAGCCTTTTCCACAGCTTGGATTTATTTTAAAGCGCGTGTTCTATTCTGAAGCGATTATTGCTCCTTCTTACCTCTCAGACCTTCGCCTTGGCAGGCTCTACCTGCTGACTGTAGTGGCAACAGTCAGATTTGGCTGCTTCTCACTCTGATAGTCCTGCGGGGCCAAGAGAGCTCTGGGAGAGCAAGGTAGAGTCTCTTGTGGCCCGTGCCGCATCGAGAGAATTGCTGATTCAATTCCGAGGGGGTTACAAAGGCAATGGGGCTGCACTGCTGTCCCTGGGGGCAGAGAGTCCCTGCAGAACCGTACTACTGGTGCTGATCCAGAGGATGGCAAGAGGCCAGTTGGACAGGGAAGATCAGGCAGAGAGGGGAAGGATGGTTCCAGTAGTTCAGGCACTGGAGTGGGATTTGGGAGACCCAATTCAATTCTCTGCTCTGCTCACAAACTCCCTGTGTGACCTTCGCCAGCTCACTTAGTCTCAGTTATCCATCTGTAAAATGGGGATAAAAATATTTCCCTGCTGCCTGGGGGGGCCTGAGGGTAAATACAACAAAGATTGTGAGGCGCTCAGATACTGTGGTGATCCAGGTCATAGAAGGACCTAAAGTAGGGTTACCATATGTGGAGTGTCCAAAAACAGGACACTCCACGGGGCCCCGCCCACGCCCCCGCCCAACTCCGCCCCCTCCCCCAAAGTCTCCGCCCAACTCCGCCCCCTCCCCTGCTTCCCGCGAACATTTGATTCGCGGGAAGCAGGCAGCAGGTAAGGGGGGGGGGAGGGAGGGAGGAGGCGCGGCCCAGTCTGGCCCCCTCCAGCGGCCGGCCCCGGGCCCAGCCTGGCTCGGCTCGGGCCCTGGGGTGCCGGCCCCGGGCCAGCCCCCGGCCGAGCACCCCCGGGCCAGCACCGCCGGCCCCCGGCCCGTCCCCAGCCCGCGGCCCAG